GGGGGGTGCCCCCCCCCGCCAGCCGTTGGCAGCCGTTGGCGGCGGAGAGGGTCGAACGCACACAGGCGGTTAAGGTGGACAAATAATTTTATTCGTGCATGCAAATACATGTCAAATACTGCAAACTTCTTCCATCAATTCTCTCAAAAACACTGAAAAAACCATGATGCTCTACTCTGTGACCAGCCAAAAAAAGCTAATACCTCTTCACTTCAGTGCTAACAGCAAACACACACAGTATTCACCCGCGGGGCGGCGGCACCGCGCGGCGCCCGCCCCGGCCCGGCCGCCTACGTCTAACACAAAGGGAAACATCACGACTTGGGAATCCAAAACCGAAATAAACGGAATAGAATTTATTCCCCCATATATTCCCCCTTTCATTTTACAGATTTTTTTTTTTAAATTATAGTTTTAAATAGAAGCTGAGAATGCGCCATAAAAATGAGCATTAAATCCATCGTAGCGATGGTGCCTGCTTTATACATGATGGGTGTACACCATCTTTTATTTCATTTACATTTCAATCGAACAATAGATTTGCAAAGAAAATGTCTAATACAGACGTAAAAATATTCACACTAGAGCTTCACAATCGGTTGTACAATTGACAAACAGGCCTCTTTTCCCAAACTTTCCAGCTAAGCAAATTTATAAAATGTAATCAATGCAACAAGAAAAAAAAATTTTCTTCTTCTTTAAAACTTCCAGGGAAAAGAATACGCAGTAAACAGTATAGATGCGGACAGCAGATGCTGCAAGCTAACCACAATACTTCTGAGTGGCTGTACAGTGGGTATGTGCAGTACAAATAAAAGCCACATGTGTTGTATCACAACTACCGTAAAATGTACTTGTTTGCCCAGCTAAGAAAATGCATGCATTTCCATGCCTTGGATTAACTGAGATCTACTCTGGAGAAATTGATGGCCTATGTGCAAATGACCTTGGCTTTTGGCAGTAATAAATGCAGCCAGGCTCTGTTTTATTTCAACTTTTACAGCGGACTCTTGATTAAAAGCTTCCATAAGTATTTTCCCCTCAGATATCAGGGTATAGTTTTATGTTTGGGTATGGGGAACGTTGATCATTCGGATTCATTTTATCTCATCGACATAGTTCTTTTTCTTTTTCTTTTTTTTTTTTTTTTCCTCTTTCCTTCTTGTGCTCCCTTGCCAGCAAAGAGATACACAGTGGTGACTACTGCCAGAGTCAGCTGTTCATTTATACTGGAAAAATTGGGTCATTTCAAAAGCACATTTATTGTGTTCTGCTTGCAGAAGAGGTCCCTCAATGAGAGGGAATTTCCTAACAAGAGGGATTAAACTACAACAAAGAATGGATTTTTTTTACATACTATAGATAATTCATTCATTTCTCATTTTGTTACACTCTCAAATCCAACATCTTCCTTTAGTAACAGTCTAATAATAATGAAAAATCTGTTCACAAATATGATCAAGGAGCTGCTGGCATACAGTGTTTATGTACAGCAACAGGTACAACTTGACAACTTGTGCTTTAAAAAAGCAAACAAAAAAATGTTTGGAACTACTCTGAGTTTCGATAAAAGTTATTTTTAAGCATTCTTTCCTCAGCTCTTTCTGACCACTGTGCATTGCTTATTTTGTACCTCATCCAGCCTAGTACGCTACTATACAAGAACAGCATTCAGCTCTTGAGTACAGGATAAATTAAAATTTCAATTGTGTTATCAAAGCACTAAAATCTTCCAAATTAGATTTCTACAAAGAGCAATTAAGAGCTTATTTAACACAATCAGCTGCATACAACTGCTTTTCTTATCAAGTGTCAAACTTCAGTGTCCCTGTACTAGACTACCAAGAACCAACGCCAGTTTGCTTTGCAAAGAGTCTAACCTTTCCTTTGAAGGGTCTAGTATACATTCTACAATGCAAAATCTGCATAAACACTAAGATTCATTTCTTGTCACCTGTTTACAGGAACGAAATATCAGCAGCAGGGCAATCACTCTGCTATAAATTATATGTTAAGAACGTACAGATAGTTACTTTCTCACACAAGCATTCTCCCAGCACAAGCATTAGTCTCTATTAAGACCTATGTGGGAAATGAGGCAAAACAAGGAATGAATCCAGGTAGTGAGGCAACACAATTAACTTAGATACTAATAATTCCTGTATCTCTTGCATGTGAAATCCCTGCTGTACCCCTAGTGGGGGAAAAAAATAAAAATAAAAATAAACACCCCAAAACGCTTGTCCAAGCAAAGCCGAAGAGCCAATCTCTTCTCCCCAATCTGCTACGGGCTTTTTTTCTGACAGCAAAGTTAGGCCAAAAATCACTGGGAATCACTGCTATTATGCATGAAGATTAGTCACTACGTCAGTGTCAGAAAATAAGCCCTTCCATAGCCCAAAGGCACCTGATTTGCAACTAAACACATGAATACATACTTGTTTGTTTAGGGTCAAGGGATGAAACTTCACCAAAGAAGAAAGCCAGAACTAGGTTCCCACCTGTAGCTTCTACTCATCAGGGCACTGGAGGGCATAGTTTCATGGCAAAAATCACACAATCAGTGTTAAAACTGTAAGACAAAGCTGGCATGCTATTAAAACCCCCAAATAATTCTTTTGCCTGTCATTCTATATATTAAAAATTTAACAACGACAAAAAAACCTAGCCTCATCTAAGAGCCAACTTTCCATATGAAGTGTATGGTCA